ATTATTGAAAAAGTTATGTTTTAAGGATGTTTACACATTTACGAACAGTTGTGTTCAAATAAAATTTTATGTAATAAAGTCGTGATACATTATTTATTAAGACCAATAAAACTATAAATGAAATTATTCATTAAATATTTATACACCGATCAACAAATTCCGAAATTTCAATAAAAATGAGGCAAGTTATCTTACTATGTATTTTAAAAATAAAAAAAATTTCAGTTAATAAGTAATCGTGAGGTGTTTGATTTTTCATCGTGGAAAAAAGACGTACATTTTATTTTATAAATTATTATAACTTGGAAAAATGTAATTAAAATGTAACAAATTATGCATGTAAAAACGTTTTCAGTTACTCTTCGATGTAGGTTACCGCTCTGAAAAGTAGTCTAAAAAAGATATGTCTACTCAACTCAAATACGGCGGGTGCCCTGAACCTATTGAAGGCAAACAATACTTGCCCTGTAACTTTTGTAAACTGACCCGGAATCATAAAAAACAGGGAGTGACTGCTATGTAAAAGCAAATAGCCGGATAATGGTAATAGTAACATGTGGGATATGTGTTGTGAACGATGGTGATGTTACGGTCGAGGGGTAAGCTGAGCCAATAAGAGAAGGTGGAATCGCTACCGGTGCCTTAAAATAATGCTGTATATAAGTTCCACGACAAAGACCTCAAAGTTATAATTTTTGAAGTGCGGCAATTTAAAGAGGAAATAGAAGTTACTCGTCAGCAAATGGCAAAAAAGCCGAAGTAAAAGAGTGTAGGTTTAATGCATGTGCTTGTGTTCACGCTAGTAACTGCGCTGGGGGTATATTTAATGGAGCAGGACATTGCGACGTACAGCTTGGTTGCCCGTTGGGACTCGAGGAGCTAGTGCAGTGCACAGTGCACAGGCATGGCACTCACTGCAGAACCAATTCTAGGGACGTGGCGCTACCACTGAAGGTACATCCGTACTTGTCTGCACCTCGACGCTTGTCAAGGTGCGAAAAGGTACGGATTCGGGAAAAGTTGAAAAGGTACGGTGCTTAAGAAGCTATCAAAGGTTAACCGATACTTGTTCAGTCGTCATTTTTATTAGAGTTTCGCCTGGATGAAGAGCAGTAGGTTTATGCACGCCAACGATGCGCATAGGTCAGTACTTTACCAGCACGTTTGCAGTGCAAACAGAAGAAGATCTGATCCGTGTTTCGGTAAAGACGTCGTTCGTTGTCTTGTTAGATTAGTGGCAGTACTTAAAAATAATGGGAATGACTTCTTTGTTCCTAAAACTCCTAGCTATTTAATTGTTTTGGTTATTGGTCTTTTTATCATGCATTTTATACTCCATTTTGTTCTATGCTCGTTTTATTATCGTACTTATTCCACATGGTAATGGTATATGTACTATATTTCTACATTTGTATTACAAACGTTGTTTTTTCATTTAAATATCTTTGCTTTGAACTTCTTGTGTGCTACCGTTAACAGGAACTCCATGTAGGTTTACCACCTTCTATTTATCTCTTACGCTTATAATGGTAATGTTCAAATGTATCGCGTATCTATCATTTATCTATGTATATTTCAAGATATATTACTTACTATATTTATTAAGATGCATCCTAAACAACAAAAACTTTTGTTCCAAACCGGTCTCTAGAACGCCCAGTCAATCAATATTCTTTGCTTTGAACCTTATATATATAGTGAGACGTGGTTTAGACCATAATGTCGAACTTAGGCGAATCCGTCTCCAAGCTTCAATTCTGAATAGTTCTCGCGTTTGACTGAAGTTTGCGGTAAACGAGAAGGTGCATTTATGCATGCAAGCATTTTTTAACCGGTCCGGTGATGCTGCTGGAACAATCCATCACCAATGTTCTTTGGTTGAACAGTGATGCAGTTCATAGCAATGTGGACTAGCCGTCGTGTCTGGCGGTTGAGTAATTTTTAGACGGTCTCACGGATAGTGTCACCGCGCTTACTAACGTCGACAATATTTTATTACACGTACGCTGGTAGTAAAAACTATTACAATTCATTTCTGCACCGTACTGTTCTGTGCCCGCCGCATTTAACTGATGTAGTGCTACCGTGACGGGTCTGGTATACACAGATGCTTCGGTAAAGGACCAAGAACTATATAATGTTACACATCTAAAAGGGCACACTGTCATTCAACATAAAGATGGACAGGTATACTACGATTCGTTACCTATCGTCCCGTTAAGCAAACACCTAAGGATTTTTTTGACAGGGAGTCAACTGTCTCCATTTAGATCATATTTATTGCCTGCGAAACATGGACAGATCACGATGTGTCGAAATTCATGAAGAAGAGTAAACGATGTATACAAGGAGAGTATAACAGTTTAATAGAGAAGTACTCCAGGGCGTCTACCTACTCCTGTTCTCCGTCTGACATCCGTCCGAAACAATTAGGTACTGTCAAATATACTCGACCAGATTAAAAGAAGCATGATGCGAATGAAGCTTCATACTTTCATACATTGTCTTTTGATTGGTTGAGTATTACTTATTTGACAGTAATTGTTTCGGACGAACGCTGGACGGAGAACGGGTACTCCCGACCCCAAGAACTCTAAACTGAGTTCAATATTATTTATTTCATAGAGCTCACATTCCAAAATAAATTAAATTTTGTAAACACTAAGTACCTGTGTATATGCGGATGATGTCAATCCAAATTAACACAACCTGAGCAAATTACTTTCTCATCTAGACAGTATAGGTCAGTGGTCTGCTCGGAACTCCTTAATATTTAACGCCAACAAATCCAAATTTATCGTACAGTTCAAAGACGCAGATTGAAACTCTTTTTTTCAAATTTCCCGAGGAGAGAAAGAAATAAAGTAGGTCACAAATGGTCCCTAACTTCGAAATCCTTATGGACTATGGACTTCTTCCGATTTCTTATCGTATCGATACCACCTTTATTTTAGGGCTATATTGACTTTAAATACTATTATTTAATAATACAAATACTTAGCTTCATATGAAATTGCAAGCATATTTTTATATCTATTGATTTGTAAAGTTTATGTTTCAATAAAAAGATGTACCAAAATTTAGTTAAGTACCTAAACAAATGGACTATAGCCACCTGATTAAGGTGACCCTACCTAAGGTGACACTACCTGTGACCGCGTTGAGATTCTCCCTAGTGTATCGTGCAGGAGCCAAAAATTACGCTTCCAACTTAAAGTGTTACTTATGTAACTTTATGGTTAATACATTTTTAAATGAAGAGATTCGTTTCCGGATCTGTAAATCTTTGTTACTCTCCAGACTCAACTACGGTAATGTAGTTACTATTCCCTGGCTGCTATTTTTCTTCAAAGGAAAAAAACAACTTAATTGAGCAATAAGTGCTAAATGATTACTTGATCAACGAAGCACTAGGATGCAGGATTCTAATATGAATGCTTGCTTTATACCTCCAGGATTATTGCTAAAGTTATCTATAATAGCTGTGCTGGGCTAATCTATTAAATACTGCAAAGTTGAATCTATTATTGACGTAATTACTCCTACTGCCTGGAATTCACTCTATAGCCGTAAGTATAATATGCAAATTGATTTGTAAAGTTATGGCAAAATCTAATTTCTGCAGAACTGAAATCGAAGGATGAGTGCCCCCCATATTTTGATTGGAATTTGGCGAAAACCCTCTCGTTCTTGGTTAAGGATCCGGTCGGGCCCATGCAAATTGAACGAATCGTGGTACATTTGAAGGATTTTTCTGTGCTTTCTAACACTGGCTTTGTATCCTTTTTAAGTTACTGTATACTCGTACATATGAATACTTGGATCCACAGAGTAATAAAGCTTGAAATAATATGAACATAACAAGAACAAATGAATTTGTTTTACATGCGAATTTGATACGTAAATAGATCAAATCAAAGAAAAACAATACAAATATAATAGAAGATGTTTGTATCATTACTAAGTTCCGAAACTATTTCAAACTTTTGTCATCGAAGTTACATATCAACTTAATTTTATTTTTCATTACGAATTAATAAACTCACGTTTGATTTTTCGTCACAATATAAACACCCGCGATTATAGTTTTATTACTACTTCATTTTTATTTAATAAGAGTTACTTAATTACGAAATTGGTAGGATACGTTGTCATTGTTTTTGCCGCGGACTGAGACTGGTACACGAGTGATGTTTCCACAACAAATTATGCCGTTACAAGCGTCAACATGTGCAGGACACATTGCGAGATATACGTAGTACGATTTTATATCGTTAACACTTTTCTGTTAATTTCTATTTCATACGGCGCAATTTTATAATCTCACATTTTTTCGGAAAAGGCGGGAGGCGACATACACGTTTAGTAATTATTAGGCACATGCAGATAAAAAGAAAATGCGTCACCTAGAACTGGCAACAATAATCACTTACAACGTACTTAACAGTAGAAAAGAGGTTTTAGAACGGTTTTAGTTTTATAGGCTTGATGACATTCGATTTTATGCGTGTGCTAATCTTAGAGGTTGGAAAAAAATAGTCTAAGGTGCTAATACATAAAGTTCAGTTTGACATGTCGAGCGTGACTTCCAGTGATCTACTCTTTTTTAATCGGTGTCGTCACCGCAGGGACAACATGTCATCTATAATATAAAATGAATATAAAAACAGACACGTGATTTACCGAAACTTTAAATCGGTCTGCAGTACAAGATTGTGCACAGGAACTTACCAATACTTATTATAGAATTACCATGTCCTTAATATTTCTTCCTTTACTATGTTAACAGAAAATTGACGCTTTGGACGACGTTTGCATAATACTCGATTTTCTATACGAGTCTTTAAATGGGCCACCAGAATTTCGAGAGGGAATTATTTCTATTCTCGAGAATTGTGCCAAACCAATTTTGCTCAACGTTAATTCTGATATTGTTACATACTTTGATAGTTTGAGAAATATTATTGGGTACCTGGGTAAGTACAAACAGACTGTCCAATGTGAAGTTCCATGTACAAGTTTGGAAAAATATCTTAATATCGGTTTTGAGGTATACCTATGTAATTTGACTTGGTGTGATTGAGGTACATGTTTCGTATATTTGGTGCTCCTTGTACATAATAACATTACCACACACACGCACACGCATGCACACACACACACACACACGCGCGCACACACACACACACACACACACACAAACACATACACACACACGCATGCGCACACGCACACACTTTTATTATTACTAAATTTTATTATTATTAAATATGAATCAAGAATTAACCATTAACGTTACGTCATAAAGTAATAAATACCTGTAACGTTAATGGATACTTGTATATCTTCTTAATGATGATCTCGGTGCCCCCAACAGTTTGCACTGTGGGCGTTGAATGACCGGATCTCTGATTCGATTTGCGATAGGGCTGAGTTTTCTGGGTAGTGCTCCGGAGTGAATTTCGTTGCTCTGGTACTCAAAGTACTAGATATTCCCTAGTTTGAGAGCAGGTACTTGGTATATACACAACATACTTTATTTAGACCAAGGTTTTAGAAATAAATTAAAGTATTCTAAGAACCTTATTACGCGTTCTATTTGTTTACCAACATGTCCTGCCCTTCATTCTGTTTTGTGCTATTGATAGTCGCGTAATGAGCACAGTGCCGTTAGTCCTCCGGGGAGTTTTACTCCCATTATGGAATAGCTTATAGCTTATGAATAAAGTGCGAACGCGCGTGCCTCACATGTCTGAACAGTTATTACATACTTATAATAGATCTCAACCTAAAGAATATTCAAGAACTGCTGTATTTTTATATATTCAATTACCTACTATTGTGAAATTACTCCACTAGATTGCTATAATTGTACAAAGATCGAACATTAAAAAAAAAACATTCGATCCGGCTGAATTCGAACCAGCGTCTTTCATCAAACCGTGCAAAACGCTATGTCAACTTAGCCGCGGAATGAACCAGTGCACCTTACGGATTATTGTATGTACTTGTTGCAGATCTATGTATTTTATTTTTAACGACTTTTTTTGCGGTAGCACCATGTGTGAGAAATCTATTTCTTCACTCAGTTAAAAAAAAATAGGTATAGTAGCCAGGTATAATCTTTGTGCAATATTTATTATTATACTAATAAAAATATATTACTTGGTACTTGGTACTTGGTGCAACGGGCTGGTTTCCGCAACTCGACGACAAAGCGCCTATTTTGCGTGTAAATAAAAAATAAAAAAAAATATTAATTATATTTTATTTTTCATAATAGTTTCTTATAATATAACAAACTATTATAAAAAGTAAATAACGCACACTCTCAACATGGACCCGCACTAGGGAAACCCTGTGCTTGTAACTGTTTAACGGTCATCAGTTCTTATCCCATTTAAAGCAGAAATATAAGTAATACAATTAATATTTATATCATTTCCATTTGGCCTATCGGCTTAATATATAGCATAATACGTAAGTCCGATGACACTAAATAATGTGGTAACCTTTGTCTGATGCTGCTGCAACCAGGAGAGTCTGCAAAATACCCTTACAGTGAGCAACTCCTCAATTGCTTAAAGCAGAACTATCGTGTTTGGGTTCAATGTATTCGTTTCGACGAGTAGTTGGTTTATAATAATAATAATAATAATAATAATCCGGCGTAGGGATGTGACGACCTCATCGCCCACTGGTGGAACGGC